TTCTTCTTTTTCTCCTCCTCCTCCTCTTTCTTCTTATTCTTCTTCTTGATATATTTCTTCTCATTCTTTGTCTTCTCTTTTTTTCTGCCCCTTTTTCTTATTCTTCTTCTTGTTATCTTTCTTCTCCTTCCTCTTCCTCTCCTTCTTCTCCTCCTTCTTCTTCCTTTTCTTCCTATTTTTGTTATTCATCTTCTTGTTCTTTTTCTCCTCCTTTTTCTACTTATTCCTTTTCTTCTTCCCCATATGCGACTGCGCTGACGGTAACTTTTCTTTAAGATTTACTATTAGTTTCAAAACTTAATTTAGAGGAAGATTGATCACATTTATGTTGAATGGAGGTTGTGAGATGCGTAACTACTGTACCTTACAAACGCCAACTTCTTAACTGTATCACGTTGCATTCGTGCTTGTTGACTGTGGCCTTTTTTTCTCTGACGATTAGCCTTCCTCTTTTCTACTTTTCCCACCTTCCAGTCGGCCACGGAGCAGCCAAAACTCGGTCCGCCCAGCAACCATGCGATGGCCCTACAGACGAGGGGCTACTCGAAGCTGTATGGTCCTGGACAGGCAGACCAGTCATTTGTGAGCCGAGGCCCGATCGACTCGCTGACCGCCGGCAACTGGGAGCTGGCCTACTCGCCGGCTTTGTCGCAGACCGGCCGGTCCGAGGGGGCCGCCCCTCCGACCGACCAATCAGATCAATCTCGCCAGTCCGACAGACCACCGCCTCTCGTCAGGTCGTCGAATCCGCCGCCTGCTCCAGTCATGGCTCCTATTCCCGCTGCGATTTCGGCCACCGACCGGACGACTGGCGTTTACCAGTCGACCCGAAACCCCACGGGTTTGCCTCCGTCCTCGATGATGGATGTCCGCCTGGACGAGGATGAATCGGACGAGGAGGAGCTCGAGCCCCGCCTCGCATTGCGCGACGCCAGACCCGAGACGAGGCGACAACTGAGCGGAGCAGAAAAGGAGCTTGAAGATGCGCTCACCAGCTTGGCTGTGTCGGACGGCGATCGGTCGGAAGGCGAGTTTTACGACCGCGAGATGAAGAATGACGACAACCGGCCTCGCGAAGCCTCTCGCCAAGCCACTTCGAGTAAACGACAAATTTTACTGTCATTCCTCGTTTCTACTCATTTTCATTTTCATTTTCAATCGACGACTGAGTGGGATTCGTTAATTGGCCTCACCAGAAGCAGAAGGAAGCTCGAATTTGAGTAGTTGTTAGTGCTTATTTTGGCTTGGGAGTCCTCAGTGCTCCATCCTGTCATCTGCCACTCGCTCCATCCGAGGAGGAGTGGGAGTAGTTGGGTAGCGGAAGTAGTATTAGCAGTATGAGTAGTTGTAAGAGATTAAGGAAGAGAAAGAGGAGTAGAAGCAGTGGCAGAAGCAATAGTATGAGTATTAAAAGTAGTAGAAGTAGTTCGAGCAGTAGCACAAGAAGTAGACGCACTAGTAGGTGGAATATGATGAAGAAGAGTAAAAGTAATAGGAGAAGTAGAAGCATTAGTAGGAGGTTTTTCATTAGTTGGAGTATGAAGTGGAATAAAAGTAGTGGCAGTAGTAGCAGTAGGTATAGTTAGAGTAGGAGGAGTAAGGTAAGTAGTAGTAGTAGAAGGAATATGAGTTGAGTACCCGGCACGAAAGATGCTTTTTTAGTCATGCTTCCGGGCAAAACTTGACGGTGCCGGTCTCGTCTGCCCGAAGGAGTCGTTTGTTCGCCAAAGCGCGAACAAGTGGTTCACGGTTCTGATCTTGAGGTCATATTGAAGGCATTCGATTGCTACACGAATTTAGGGGAACTGGACTACTATAATCAAGTATTGGGTGAAACTGTGTAGTCGAGGGACCAAAAGGTTGATGTCGTGGAAAGAAGATGACAGATTCCTGTTGGCCGGTTGTTCTTTGGCTTTACTCAGGTCCTTGACCCCTTGACCCCTTGGCTCCATTTGTCTCTTTCGGTAGCATTGACAACAGGCTGGGCTTTCGTCTCTCATCCTTTTGACGGACACCATCAAAGCTGGGTCAGACATACTCTCCGTGTTATTACGGCATGTCACGTTTCTACTCGAAACCTCTGCACTTTAATGAATGACAAAATAATTCGGTTTGTTCAGGATATATGCTTTTATAGATGCATGTGTGTGTGCATGTACGTTCAATAGTAGCTCATATTAGTTAGAATAGAGGTTGACATGTGTTTTTGGTAATCAAGGCTCGATGACCACTCTAATTTCACGATTAGTTCTGGTCCTAAACAGTCGTCTGGTTGGGTTGATGAGTTGGTAGCGGTGATTATTTGAAGTCCAGCCCTTCATCGTGTATTGCAAATAAGTTTGGTTTTCCAAAAGCCCACATTCTGAGATCCTTATTTCGATGCATTTTTTGGGTAAAAAACCTTTTCAGGTCTCTGGAGGCCATTCAAAGATTGCAGAAGCCCAAGCACATTAGGTTTCGTCGGCTCTTTCGTGTAACGTGACTTAAGAACCGATAGATATGAAGAGGACGATGATGTCGAAATCTCCTTTAGTTGTATAGGGCTGGTTCAACCTCGTTTTTGCAACTTGATCGGAGCGACAAGATCTTGTGGAGCGCAACTAGTCCTGCGTCCTCTGCTCTCGAGTGTTCCTGACGTTTTCCATCACCATTGACTTGCTGCAATCCTCAATGCTTCACTTCATTCGTCAATTTGATTGGTTGTAACTTTCTGCTATGAATGGCGTCTCGTTGACGATGCTGACTACCATGTCGGCAAAATGGCTATAGCAATCAATGAAATTATGTGTTCGTGGATGAGTAAGTTTTGAGACTACAAGTAAATTAGATGTGTAAGGTGCTTTCACTCTATTTCGTTTAAAGTGATGAAAGACTGGCAGTTGAAATTTCCCCCAATGATGTGAGTAGAATTTCAAGGAATGTAATAAAATTGTAGGAAAATTCAACTGCTAATCCTTCATCTTCTTAAATAAAACAAGGTGAAAACGATTCATCTATCTGATTTACTGGTAGTCTCGAAAAACTATTCACGAAGAAAGTAATGCCGTCTATTGCTATAGCAAATATAAGTTTGCTTCTTCGATAATACCAACATAGAATGCGATATGCAAGATGCCTGGCATTCCTTGAAATGCACATCGGCCTTATG